TACACTTCTAGACACTATAATTGCACAAAAATAGTTTATAAATGCAAAAAAGTGCATTTAGCATATGTCTCCTTTAAGGATTCGTGTAAATATTTCTGATGATTCACTCCTCATTATTTAATGGGATAATGACAAAATAAATTTGAAATGATCACAAATCTTTAAAAACCTTTTGAGAGCAGTCAGAAAGTAATGGGTTAGGTGGCTATATATGTATATGAATGTGCAGATCTGATGCACATTAACATTAAATTTTTATCAAATGTATGTGATATTAAAAAAACTGGTGCATCATATTTATTGAAGAAACTGCATTGTTTACCAACAAACAACAAGTTCACACACACTGGGAATTTTTTGATCACTCTTTTTATGGCAGCAGATGACATAAACAAATATGAGCTCAGATGCATGATTTCTACAAAAGGACATTACAGTGTGTATACTTTTACCATTCTGAGGATATTTGAGAAGAAACTTCATGATCTGAGTTCACCATAAAATATATTCAGAAAATATGTGGACATCAAACATAAAAACAGTGGCATTTAAAAAAAAGAAGTGGTCCAACTAAACTTTACAGTTTAAAGCCCTCTGCAGCAGGATGACATTATCTGAATTGTGTTAAACTGAACAGTGAGCTAAGTGCTCTCTTAAATACCAGACCAATAGAAAAAACAAGTGGACATTTATTTGATTTATCAGAGACCTGAAATGTATTTAAAAATACATTTGTGACACAGTAATTGGATTGTGTATGCTGGGATGACTCCTTATCTTGACTGCAGTCTGACTGTTCCTGAAGGCATCGTGGAGAAACAGACYTGTAGCAGGTCTGAGATGTTAGGATGGCTTTGATGCTCACTCAGCTGCTGCCTGGATATTTAATTATTCTCGGCAATAGGACAATGATTTTCGGACACTTCCTGTACTGATATGCACCTCTTTTATTCTCCATGATATACTGCATTGAAGTACCAATATCAGTTTAAATTTTTGGACATATTCTTAGAGGTGAAAGCACTAATAGACACATTTTTTTAATTTTGCAAAGAAGCATTTGATAGAAAAGCATCAGCAAATCCTTGTTAATTTTTCTTGCAAAAATTAGATTACAACTAAGAGGATCAGACATATCTCTAAACTTCTTCTGTTGGTGTTTGATTTCATCCACTCAGGTGACTTTTCTCTATGATAACATCACAGAGATCATTTATGACACAAACAGTCTTATCATTCGTGAAAGATGAGTCACTTTAATTTTTATGAGAAACATCAGACGTCACCTCTAATAATTGCAGTTTAATAATAAGCCATGAATGTAGATGTTTAATTAAATACATTTCCTCTGCAGGATGGGATGCATAAGTGACTGAGATGAACCTGTGAGATGTGTGTGATTCACAATCACTCTGTTGCACAGCTGATAACAGCATCCCTGTGTGTGTGCGTGCGTGCGTGCGTGCGTGCGTGCGTGCG